AGAGATGCATTTTGATATACATAAGGGTCTTCAGCTATTTCATTTAATACTTTGCAGCTATAAAGAAATATAAGAACCATAAAAATATATAATCAATTACCTATTAAATAACGTCAAAACTTTTTTGTTTCCTTTTTATTTTACTGTCAAATCGTTTTCCAAGTTAGAATGTAAATTTAAATCAAGATTGCCTCTTAATTCTACATACCTTAACTTAACGTTAGCTATATCGGTTAATGAATTCGCTGCTACTCGAGCCATAATGTCACTGGCAAGCTCTATCGGGATAGTTCCAATTGTTGAGACAATTCCCTTCGTGTTTTTGTGCATATTTTTACGTGTGCAGCGCCTTGTCATCCTTCTTGATTGGCCTTCGATAATTTCACAGAGTTAAATGCAGAATCTGAAAAATACAACCATTAGTAAATTCATCAATAATACAGAAATCTTATCAAAACTAGGTTATTTACTCAAAACAAACAAACGAATAATGAACTTCACAAACCTCGTACGCATGCAAGAATACAAAATTCCAATAATGTAGAGAAAATATTTACCTCTAATTTTGAATAATACGGTCGATAACTGCAAGAATTCAAAATTCACCTCGATCTCAGAGAAATTTGGTTTTCTATTTATGTGGAAAAATCAAGAGGTGGTGCTTCGAGTTATATATAGGAGAAAATTTTTGCATGTCTAATCCTTTTAAGGATAAGGAAACGGAATGTTACCATATTTGGTTTTTTTAAATTGTTTTTGGTAGGAACGGAATGTTACCATATTTGATCATAGTTTTGGATTAATAGTAAGCAATTTTTTCCTTCCTTTGTCTTTTTTGTCTAGATGGAATTATGGGAACATATTGCCAATTAACAACTTTGTAACAAGTTTTGGCAAGTCGAGTGATTTGTTTTTTAATTATTTTCTCAAAGATAGAAGATAGGACATATCGGTCACACGAGAGAAGTGGTGTTTTTGATGATATACGAGTGACTAACAAATTAATAAATGCTGAATTTTCTAACCATACGTAGGAGTGTGTTA